TTTCTTTTCCTATGGTATCTTTGACAAGTTTTAGTGTCAGATTTATGTCGAATTTACAAAAGAGGTTGAAAGAGATTTCTCTTTCTTTATTTTCTATACAATTTTGTATAAATGTGATACTATTTTCTTCTTAAATAAGTATAAGAATTTTTCAGTAAGAACATTGGGCCCTATAGCATTTTCTATGTGGATTTTGAAATTATGTGGTCAGTAAAATACATACATAGGAATATGTTTTTTTCTATTTTTTGTTTTTATTTTGGTAAATTGTGCTTTTTAACCATTCATTTACTTTTCTTCTAGTTTTATTGAGATATAATTGACATATAGCACTGTGTAAGTTTAAGATGTACAGCATAATGATTGACTTACATACATCATGAAAACTTATCACAGTAAGTTTGGTGAACATCCATTATCTCATATAGACAAACAATTAAAACACTGGAAAAAAAAGTTTCTCTTGTGATAAGAACTCTTAAGATTTACTGTCTTATCAACATTCATATATAACATACATCAGTATTGGTTAAATCTGTCGTGTGTACATTGCATGTCTAGTACATATTCATCTCATAAGTTAAATAAGTTTTAACTTATTTAAATAAACTTGGAAGTTTCTACCTGTTGACTGCCCTCATTCAATTCCTCCTCCCCCCACCCCCTGCATCTGGTAACCACAAAATCCATCTCTTTTCTATGCATTTTTATTCATTTTTGAAAAATAATTGACCTACAATACTATATTAGTTCCTGTTATGTAACATAGTGATTTGATATTTCTATCCATTTGAAAATGACCTTCTTGATAAAGCCAGTTACAATATGTCACTGTATAAAGTTATTGCTTAGTTATTGACCATATTCCCCACACAGTACATTTCACACACTCCTGACTCACTTATTTTACAGCTGGAATTCTGTATATCTTAATCTCCCTCATCTATTTTTTTCTTCTCACACCCTTTCCTCTGGCAACCACCTGCTTGTCTTCTGAATCTATAACTGTTTTGTTATGTTGCTCATTTGTTTTGTTTTTTAGGACCCATAAGTAAGCAAAATCATACAGTAGTCATCTTTCTCTGTCTAACCTATTTCACTTAGCATAAGATCTTCAAGGCCGTGCTGTTACAAATGGCAGCATTTCATTCATTTTAAGGCTGAGTAATATTCCATTGTGTATCTGCACCACACCTTCTTTATCCATTCATCTACTGATGGGCATTTAGATTGCTTCCATATCTTGGCTATCGTAAATACTGCTACCATAGATATAGGAGTGTATATAAATTTTCTGATTAGTATTTTTGTTTTCTTCAGATAAATACCCAGGAGTGGAATTGCTGGGTCATGTGGAAATTCTGTTTTCAATTTCTTGAGGGATTTTCAGATTAGTTGTGTTTTTTAGAGGAATTTGTTCATTTCCTCCAAGTTGTCAAATGCATTTGCATAAATATTTCATAATATCCTCTTCTTACTATTGCATTTTTCTAATATCTAGGAAATCTGTAGTGCTAGCTCCTTTTTCATTTCTTATATTTATAATTTGGTTTTTCTCCTTTAAAAAATATGGTTTTATGGATTATTGATTTTGTTAATCTTCGAATAGCCACCTTTAGGTTTTATTGATTTACTCTGTTATATGCCAGTTTTCTATTTCATTGACTTTTGCTTGTTTCTTTAGTTTAATTAATCTATATATTATAGATATGTTAGTTGGTACAATAGCTCACACCATTAATTTTCTGCATGTGATTTTCTCTTATATATATATTTGAAACGATCAATTTCTCTTTCTGTTTAGCACATGCAAAATGTTTTGTTAATGTACACATTTCAATTAAAAATATTTTGACTTTTCCACTTTTCCACTGATTTCTTCTTTGATCCATATATTATTTAGAAAAGTTTTGCTTAATTTTAAATAATTGTGAACTTTTTGGTTATATTTTAGCTATTGATTTCTAGTTTATTTCCACTGTTTTCAAGTGGCTTAACTGGATGCTTTCAGTCCTCTGAAAGGTATTGATCCTTGCTTTACGGCCCAGAGTATGGTCTGTTTAGGAAGATCTCCCACATGGACTTAAAAAGAAAGTTTTCCAGAAGTTGTTAAGCTTAGAGAGAATATTAGCTAGGCTAAGTTGTTTCACTGGATTGTTCAAACCTCCATTGTACTAATTTTTTGGTTTTATTGTTGTATCAACCAATGAGAAATGTGTTAAAATTTACAAATCAAATGTTATATTTATACTTTTCTCCATTGAGTTGTATCAGTTTTTGTGTTAAATAATTTGAAGCTAGCTTTCAGGAAATGAGGAATTTAAAGTTGTTGGGTGTTCCTGTGAGCCTGACCTATTACCTGGAAATATGTCTCTTGGCTTCTGGTAAAATTTTGCTTCATGAAATTTTCTTTGTCTATTTTTAGTGGTCCTACATCAATTTATTTCCCTTAATACATAGGATATGTCTTCCTCTATTTTTTGAATGTCAACATAACTGTGTTTATTTGTATAATTAAAGTGCGTTTTTTGATGAAGAACATATATCTGCATCTTGTTTCTTTTTAATTAAACCTAGTTTTTTTCTTTTAAATAAGATCTAGTACATGCATATTAGAAATAATGATTGATATAGCTGGACCTAAATCTACCATCTTATTACTTATTTCTAGTTTTCCTATTTGTTTCTTCATTCCTCTTATTTATCTTCTTTTGTGTTTAATCAAATATTCCTGCTTCATTTATTCTTCTTTATCATCTATTAAGTTATATAGCCATATATAACTTTTTATATTTCAATATGCATTTTTGAGTTAGTTTTTGTTTTTATAAAATCCTAAATAATATGAGAAGCTTTCAATAGTTTAACATCATGTACCAATGTCCTCTTTAAAAAAAAAAAAACTCTTACTGTATATTTTTACTTGTATATATGTATAACAACCACCCACAAAATATTATTATTTTTGTCTAAAACATTCAACCTTCTTTTATTTTTTTTAGTATCAAAAGGTATCTTCACTGTCTCTGTCAATTTCTGTTTTTTTAGCAAAATCTGCTCTTTTCCTTATGTTTGCCCCTCTTTATGCAATGTATTTTCCCCCTCCTCTTGTTACTTTTTAGACTTATTTCCTATTCTAGGATTTTGATTACAATATTCCGCAGTGTGGTTTTCCTTTAGGTTGATTTTTCTTAGGGTTAATAACATTGTTGAAACAATGTATTTTTCAGTTCGGTTCAGTTCAGTCGCTCAGTCGTGTCCAACTCTTTGCGACCCCATGAATCGCAGCACGCCAGGCCTCCCTGTTCATAACAAACCCCCGGAGTTTACTCAAACTCATGCCCATCGAGTTGGTGATGCCATCCAGCCATCTCATCCTCTGTTGTCCCCTTCTCCTCCTGCCCCCAATCCCTCCCAGCATCAGGGTCTTTTCCAGTGAGTCAGCTCTTTGCATGAGGTGGCCAAAGTACTGGAGTTTCTGCTTCAGCATCAGTCCTTCCAATGAACACCCAGGACTGACCTCCTTTAGGATGGACTGGTTGGATCTCCTTGCAGTCCAAGGGACTCTCAAGAGTCTTCTCCAACACCACAGTTCAAAAGCATCAATTCTCCTTCACCCAGCTTTCTTCACAGTCCAGCTCTCACATTCATACATGACCACTGGAAAAACCATAGCCTTGACCAGTTTGGTTCTCATCAAATGTAGAACAATTTGACTACTGTATTTTCAAGTATTTTCTTCATTATTTCTTATTTCTGAGCATATATATATATATATATATATATATATATATATATATATATACACTTGATACTGTTATCCCACAGATTACCCTACTCTATCCATTTTATTTTAGTCTTTTTAGTCTATTTGCTTCATGTTGTATAGTTTCTATCACTATGTCTTCAAGTTCATGGATTTTTCTTTTGCAGTACCACTTATGCTGGTATTTAAACCCAGCATATTTATTATCTAGATGATTTTCTATCTGTGACAGTTCCATCTGTCTTTTAGAGACATTCTATTGATCTTTCACACTTATGTTTTCCTTTACTTTTGTGATCATATTTTTTGTAACTGCTTCAAACTCATTTGTCTTCTAGCTCCATCATATATGTCACTTCTGAGTTCAATGTATTGACAACTTAGTATCCTAATTAGTAGGCATATTTTCCAATTTCTTTATTTGTCTGGTGATTATCTATAGACTGTCAGATATTAATTTTTTTTGGATTGCTGGATTTTATTGTATTCCTTTAAATCATTTTGAATTTGCTTCTGGTACCCAATTAAATATGAAATCGGTTAGATCCTTCTGAGACTTGTTGGATTTTGGGGGGCGTTGGGGGCTGTATTGCTGATCCTGTTCATGAGCCAGTTGTCTTGCTATTCGTACTGTCCACGCCGTTCGCTAAACCCAGGGTGGGCAAGGTGCGAGCTAAAAGGCTGAAAGAAGCCGCAAGGAGCCACAGGAGCTGCAGACGTGTTTAATCTCTCCTGGATGATGCGGCAGCCACAGCATGACCATGGTGGAGCCACAGTGGAGCCATAACATAATCTCATGACATCACCATGATGTTGCTCCGCTGTAGGCCCCGTGCAGCGGCATCCAGGGCTTTCATGGTGAAGACATACGGTACAAAGTAGCCCGTAAGCAAGTGGGCCCCTAGTGACAGGCACGGGCAGTGCAGTAGATGATCTCAGCTGTTATATAGTCATTATTTACAAAACGTGGGGCGAGAGAGGCTGAACACACCATCTTGGCTGACTTTCTCTCTTCCTGCAGGGCGGCTGGTTAAGTTGTGTTCAGGTGAGCTGCCTCCTCAGTGTTAAGTCAGCACTGTTACTGGGGTGATAACCCTGAGCATTCTCTCAAATGCCTTGTCCATTATGAGAGTTGCTGTTGGGAAAGAAACAATTCTTAGCCCCACATAAGCTCCAAAAAGTGTTCCACCTACTCCTTCCCAGTGAATAGCAAATTGATACAGTTTTCACTTACCCTAGTATAGTCCTCTGCTTTGGTCCAGCCTGCATTGGACCTAGAGAAGAAAAAACAGTGTTTATCAAATCACAACGGTGGCTCCTTCACTCTCTGCGAATGTAGATCATCTATTCTTAGTGTGTCCACAGCTCTCAGATGTCTTCAAAATGTGGCTTTCACTTTTATCATGTTATTTTTGATAGTTATAAAGAAATACTAGCTTTCATGACTTAATACCATCTACCTAGAAAAATCAGATAATTCTTACACACTCAAGTCTGCTGAAAAAAAAGAATTGTATTCAATACATAGATGTGTCCTCCCCAAATGTGCCAGGTATTCACCAAGGTGAAGTTTATCTATTAATTCTCATAAAATAGCACTGCTAGTGAGGTAGCCTGTTATATACTCTGGAGAAGTCAGTTTCTACCTTTGTAAAGCTTACAGTCTATTGAAACATTAAGAAAAAAAAAAAAAAGAGAGAAGGTTTTCCCACTTTGGCTACGCCTGTAAAGCAGGGAAAACCATTCATGATACACCCAGTTAGAGACTGTGTCTGTTTGGTTGACAGACAGACACAAGGCTGGATACAGGGCATGGCCTTGATCTACAGATTGAAAGCTACATGCACAGGTCATATTTTGAGCTACAGGCTTAAGTAAGATGATATGGTCCTAGCTGCAGATTAATAAATGGGTGTATAGTTCCTAGGGAGTTTCCCAGATGGCACAGTGGTAAAGAATCCACCCATCAATGCAGGAGACACAAGAGACGCGGGTTTGATCCCTGGGTGGAGAAGATCCCCCGGAGGAGGGAATGGCAACCCGCTCCAGTATTCTTGCCTGGAGAATCCCAAGGACAGAGGAGCCTGACAGTCCGTGCATCGCAGAGTCAGGCACGACTGAGCGACGGAGCTCACACAGTCCCCAGGAGTACCGGGAGACTGACTGGTTTCATTCCAACATTCAGTTCAGCTGCTCGGTCATGTCCGACTCTTTGTGACCACATGAACTGCAGAATGCCAGGCCTTCCAGTAAACTCCTGGAGTTTACTCAAACTTATGTCTATTGAGTCAGTGATGCCATCCAATCATCTCATCCTCTGTCATCCCCTTCTCCTCCTGCCCTCAATCTTTCTCAGCATCAGGGTCTTTTCTAGTGAGTCAGCTCTTCACATCAGGTGGCCAAAGTTTTGGTGTTTCAGCTTTAGCATCAGTCCTTCCAATGAATATTCAGGACTGATTTCCTCTAGGATTGACTGGTTTGATCTCCTTGCAGTCCAAGGGACTCTCAAGAGTCTTCTCCAACACCACAATCTTGGCCATTGTAACTACATAAATCACGTTACCCAGATTGTGACAGGTATGACCTAAGCTGTGGTCCTGTCTTGTCCTGTAACAGCTCTGGATCTTATTGTCCTCAGCAGGTATTCTTGTTAGAGAATGGCTATGACCTTGCTGACCCTGATCTGGTATGATCTTAAACACCCCAAGGGCTTTAGCGCCTTCCCAGAATGAGTATACCAGCGTGAGGCCAAAACCAAGGACCTTTGATCGGCTTCCACCACCACCCATGTCCTGAAGGGCTGACCTGGGAAACCAACCAGCCCTGACATTAGGTGAAGGTGTTTGAGTTTGCCTCTCTGGAGGACAAGTGATAATTTCAATTTTATTTAATTGTAATGGTAGAGAGAATAATATAATCACGTTTTATTTCTACAAAATAATACTTTTCAATACCTCATTATGTATGCACACTTTACTAAGATTCCTGCCATGCTTTCCTTACTGTTTGCATTTCCTCCCCCCTTGGAAATTTACACAATTTATTTTTATAACATTTTAATGTAAAACTAATACCATATTGTAAGCAAGACTTCATAGTTTATATAATTTCCTGGGATTTATTGCTTGCAGTTCTATGTATAAATCTTGGCACTATCATAAATTAGAAATTGCTTCTCTACCTTGTCCATTATATTTATAGATAGGGTCATAATTACCAAAGTATTCATTTTCAAAGTCTCTTGGTTTGAGTCCAATCTCATTTATTATGGTTGCCTTCGTTTTGTAATGCTATTTATTAGCTGGTGCCAGTCAATGTGATAATACACGCGCCGCGCCGCAGCCAAGTGGTAGAGCAGATATGAAATTCTGTGAGTCACATCTTTCCTGTCTTGTCAGTTGTCTGTGAATGAAACTAATTGAAGGATTTTTTTTTTGGTATGTGTTTATAAGAGGCACATATCTGCCATGGTCTGTACCGAGAAATAGCTCAGCAACTTGATTGTATAGAGAATGCTGTTGACATAGAGTAAATCTTGCTTGTTCATTTGTAGGATAAGATTAGCCTTTTGGCCCTTGGTTTATGGAGCCCTTAGCTTCCTTGGGGGTGACCCAGGGGAGGACTCTCGGAATCTGGGCGTTTCTTCCCGTATCACGTGGGGCAAGAGCGGCTGTGATTTCTGTCTTGTGTACTGGGTTCATGTGTGCTGAATTGTCCGACCCTTTGCGACCCCGTGGACTGTAGCCCGCCTGGCTCCTCTGTCCGTGGGATTCTCCAGGCAAGAACACTGGAGTGGGTTGCCGTGCCCGCCTCCAGGCGCCTTCCTGAACCGAGGATCGAGTTCACGTCTCTTACATCCGCTGCTTTGGCAAATGGGTTCTTCACCACTAGTGCCGCCTGGGAAGCCTGGGTATCGATTCATGATTACGTTTGGATAAATGTTTGCTGAAGAGTCTCTGATGTCATGAGGCAGCTACTCAGATGGATGAATGTGGCAGAAAGAATAGTTGAGTCCCGAGCCATGAAGCCGTTTGCCTACATGTGTGGTGCGCTCAGGGTGAGGGTGAGTGGAAGGGGCCTCTTAGTGAGTCAGCTCATCCTGCAAAGCCCTTCTTCTGGGGAAGCAACAGGGACTAAGGCAAGGTTCCTAGTCTCAACAACCTGATGCTTTAGAGAAAGGACAGACCCCGGACCCCTGTCAGGCTGGAGAAAGCAGAGGTGATGTGGGAATTTAGGGGAAGACCCCTGACTCAATGTCCATGGTGCTGGGGGCAGGGGAGGACCACAGCCTCCCTGCTGTACTATGGTAGAAGCTGCTGTGGACTTCTTAGCTTAGGATGCCAAGTTCTTCATTTCACAAGGCCCCAAATGACTACAAACACACCTGCCCGTTATTTCTACCCTAAGGCGAATGCTTGTTACCCAAGGGCACACCGCTTCCTAAATCTTCCTCCCCCGTGTGACAAACCCAAGTGTCTCCAAGCACAGCACCATGTCCCCAGGGGTGGCAAGGTCATCCAAGGTGGAGAACCATTGATCTCAGATGAGGTACTAATTAAGGACAGGTGTCCGGGGCCAATATATAGAAAGAGCAACACATGGAAATAAAAGGATCTTAGAGTCTGGCATATTGACAACTATCAGAATACATTAAATACATCACATTATTCTGATGCAAAGCATTCCTTTTGAGTGATTTTGGTATGTGTCTGCCTAACAGCAATTTCAAAGGAAAATAGTTTTGCTTGAAGTGAGAATTTATCCAAAGGTGAAGTAAGAGGATCATATCCAGTATTTGCCCTGGAAAGATTTAGAATTCTTTTTCTCTTAACAGTAAAGGGAGAGTTTTTTTTTTTCCTTCCTTTTTAATTTTCTTTTTTCACTTCTGGTACACCAGGGATTTCTCAGATTCAGAAGAAAGTATTGATATTTCACAAAAGACAAGTAAAAAGGATGAACGCTCAAGCTCTCGGTTGCAAATGGTGTGCAGAAAGAAGTCCCAGAGTGCTAAGAAGAGGACATTTTTTTTTCTTTGCAGCAAAAAGTGCAGAAACCTCAGTTAACTTGCAGAAATAAAAGGGATGTAGGGACCTGCCTGTCACTCAAAAGTAGTGGCACAGAAATCAGGGCTGTATCTCCAGAATTGGGCTTAAATACCTCGCTCTGCTGACTCCATCCCCACGATAGGCAGGGACGGCCCAGGGCTTCAGTTGTCACAGGCGCCAATGCAGCTCCCCTGTCTACGTGTCTGAGGCTCCCGGCTGGCGGGCGTCCCTGGACGTCACTGACCCCGTGAGGGGGCTCATGGAGCCTTCAGACTCCGGCTTGTCGAGTCTGCCTTTTTCATCTGATACAGGTGGCAGAAAACTTGTTCTCAGTCCTTGTTCAGATCCTGCTGTGGCAGAAAGATCATCACATGCCAGTCTGAGCACCGTGGGATGAGGTGGTCTGGATACCGAAGCCGGCAGAAGTCCGCCGACCACCAGGGTCCCAAGCAGCCCAGTCCTTCTATCTGGAGGGACGAGTCTCTGTGGCTCTGTCCCCAGGCTCCTGCTTCAGCTTCCATCCTAATTGATGACATGAAACTTTTTCCTGCTTAAAGAAATCTATATTCATCACTTGAAAGAGCATCTCAGAGCTGAGGAACTTCTGTGTTTCATCAAACCACTGGATCTTACTTTGGAATGTTTACTTACACGGTCCGAGGCAGAATTTCTAACCGGGGATCCTTGGTCAGCGCTAAGGCACAGTGTAAAGCCTCCCTGACCCGTGGGATCAAGGGGAGGGTGGCCTTCCTCACACACGTGTGTCGTAACGACGACGGACTCGGGAGTGTGCGCTGCATGAAACACGAGAGGCGGTCCTGAGCGGCAGCGGCCTCTATAGCAGCCAGCGGATGGACACCCAGTCCTAGAAAAGCAGCTCTAGAAAGCTGACCTCACGTTGGCCACCCAGAGATCGTGGAAAAGGAGACCTTTTGGGGCTCCGTCTGGCTTGCTTTTATTTGAATATCATTCAGCAAAAGCCTGTTGATGAGCACTTTGGGTCCTGGGAAAAGCGAGGGAACATAAAGATGAAAAAGGAGCAGAGTCCTGTTAATCAAGATGCTGAGAGATTTCTGAGACGCATTCTTGGGTAGTTAAAGCAGCTTCCTCCCAGGAGGGTCACGGCAGACAAAGCCCGCCTTCTGGGGTGACGGAAGGAGAGAACTGACCTGATTGAGGGGGGCGTCCCAGGAGAGGGCTTCAGGTGGTTGGTGGAGGAGGTAAAGTTAAACGGACTCTTGTGTGCTGACAAAGCATTTCCCCCAAGGGTTTAAAGTCCAGAGATTCTGTGTTTAGCTGGCACCCTGACTTCGCTCGTGGCTCAGACGGTAAAGAATCTGCCTGCAATGTGAGAGACCTGGATTCGGCCCCTGGATCAGGAAGATCCCAGGAGGAGGGGCTGTCTACCCACTCCAGCATTCTCGCTGGGGAGAGTCCATGGACAGAGGAGACTGGCGGGGTATGGTCCATGGGGTCACAGAGTTGGACGTGACTTAGTGACAGCACGCACACGCAGAACACAATAATGTCCCCCTGTTGGGGACCTCTTTCCCCAAGTTCTGCTCTCCCCTCCGGGAGGCTGTTAGCTCACACTCACTCAGCAGAGGCAGCCGAGTTGGTCAGCATACCAGCCCAGCTGGGCCGCCTGTGGCTGGTGGCTGGTCTAATCCAATCTCACTACTCCGTGGCCCTGGGTTGTTCACCGCGGACCCTCTTTTGTTAAAGCACCAGCTTTGCCATGTGCTTTTCAAAGCCTTTAAGACCTCTCAAAGCGCTACCCTGCCCACTTCCTCAAGATTCCATGGAGGCCCCAGGACCCCCGGTGCTGGCCTTTCATCACACCTGGGTGGGCAGGTGATCTGACAGCCCCGGGGCGTTCACCGCCCTTCATCCGCCCGACAGCAGTGCTTCTGTTTCCAGCCTCGGTTTTTCTCTGCTGTGGGGCCTTTTGGAAGCCTGCTGTCATCCATCCTCACAACACCCAGGGAGCACAGGCCACTGTCATTGTCCAAGGTCACAGAGGGACTGGCCAAGGTGATGGGAGGTGAGTGACTTGCCCCGAGTCAGCTGGTGGGAGCGTGGACCTGAGGGAAGGTGTTGCCCCAAATCAGACTGAGCATCACTGCTGAGGGCTTCCCTAGTTTCCCTCCTCACCTGGGGCTGGCTCCTTTCTATTCGATACGATCACTTTCTAGCCACCCTTCTTTTTAGCCCTCTTCAATAAGAAAAAGAACAAAACAGGAGCAGATTGGGTGTGAGCCTGTTTCAGCTTTGTTTGTAGTCTTCTTTTTTAAGATCTTTGCTCTGGGCGCTGTAATGGGAGAAGCCCTTACTGCCTTCCATTTATAACTCTTATTAATTTAAAATCTACAAGCGACAAGAAGCCCAGATCATTATCAATATTCTAACACCCACAGAAAAATTAGTCAGGCCCCTACTAAGCATAAATCCTCTGCTCCAGGAGATATGTGTTGCTGGCAAAGATGGTCCTGATGTAATGGAAGCATTTAATGTAGAAAATGTTGCTCTATATCTCTTCCTGATGGCATCAGACAACCAGGGCAGTGAGGTGGGGGGAGGAGCTGGAGAGGAGGCTGCCCAAGAGAAGCAATATGTGGGCTGAGCTGATCAATAAGAAGATTAACTTAACCAAGTAGAGGACTTATCAATCTTCTTATTGATCAGTTTAGCGAACATATTAGTATGCTGGTGCAGCACTGCCAGGCCGTCTAGGTGGCGTTTCATCAGGTCCAAGGTAGACCAGCTATCACAGTTTGGCTGGGTGACATCTTCTTACAAGTCTCAGTTCAGTTCAGTTCAGTCGCTCAGTCATGTCCGACTCTTTGTGACCCCGTGAATCGCAGCACGCCAGGCCTCCCTGTCCATCACTAACTCCCGGATTTTGCTCAAAGTTATGTCCATCAAGTCAGTGATGCCATCCAGCCATCTCATCCTCTGTCGTCCCCTTCTCCTCCTGCCCCCAATCCCTCCCAGCATCAGGGTCTTTTCCAATGAGTCAACTCTTCACATGAGGTGGCCAAAGTATTGGAGTTTCAGCTTCAACATCAGTCCTTCCAATGAACACTCAGGACTGATCTCCTTTGGGATGGACTGGTTGGATCTCCTTGCAGTCCAAGGGATTCTCAAGAGTCTTCTCCAATACCACAGTTCAAAAGCATCAATTCTTCAGCACTCAGTTTTCTTCACAGTCCAACTCTCACATCCATACATGACCACTGGAAAAACCATAGCCTTGACCAGACGGAACTTTTTTGGCAAAGTAATGTCTCTGCTTTTTAATATGCTATCTAGGTTGGTCATAACTTTCCTTCCAAGGAGTAAGTGTCTTTTAATTTCATGGCTGCAGTCACCATCTGCAGTGATTTTGGAGCCCCCCAAAATAAAGTCTGACACTGTTTCCATTGTTTCCCCATCTATTTCCCATGAAGTGATGGGACCTATTCACCACCAAAAGAGGTCACCTCTCCCTCTTGTAGGCAAGATTGTCCCCAGAGAGGGAAGCTGATGGACAAACTGAAGTGGGATTATGTAGACACCCCTTAAAAACAGGATTCAAATTCAATCAACAAGTTCCTGCTTGGTAAGCATTTCTGTGACTCTTAATTTTAAGCAAACGAAGCATAAAGTGAGCTTTTATTTACTGAATGCCTAGTGAAAGTTCAAAAAATTATTTTAAGTATTCACACTTGTGATAGTACCAGATGTGATTATTTAATGTTCCTTATATTGACGTCTGAGAAATAGATTAACGTTCATCTTCAGAATCAGCATAAACACACATTATTTTACTCTTTTAAAAAAAGCAATGCTTTAAATTATTTGGACAGATGTCACACACTTTATTTTGAATCATGGGTATTATATAACGAAGAAGTTTTGAAGTGATATTTATGTAGCTTAAAAATTCTTATCCATTCATTCAATAAACACTTGCTGTGCATAAAGTCGAAATGAGACCATCTATTCTGCACAGCTGATGGTCATCCCCTCCGAGGGGAGAGGGTGGGACAGAGTCAGGTGACACCACCTCCTGGGCTGCCATGAGCTTTGCTCTGCACTCATCCACCAGAGTAAGGAAATGGTGAGTCTTGAGCTTAGCCACTCACAGTTAAAATATCTGCAGCTTGAGTAATTTTCTTGTAAAAATAAGTTTCCTTTCTAATTCCATAATTGTCTGCCTCATTTCACGTTATCTCATAAAGGATAAATACCTGGCTCAAGATCACTGGCCTCTTATTTCCCTTCAGTCCCTTTGGAATGGAAGTTCCACTCCAGAGGGACTTGGATGCCATCGCATCTTACTGTATTATAGACGGGATAAATGAACGGTGCTTCTTGCAGGGGAGACATGCTATGAGGAAGAAAGAAATGCTCTCTGTTTCTCTGAGGAGCTCTCGGTCCCTCTGGAGTTCCCGTGAAAATAGGAGAGAGGAGTCCAGTGCTCGAGGGTGTGGACAGTGATGTCCTGGAGAGAACCCCAGGTGGAGACAGGGACAGAAACCTGCTATTATTACATCTTTATCTCCTGTGACCTTATAGGCTTCAGGTGAGAAGATAGGGGACCAGTTACTGGCTAATTCATTAAACAGTATTTATCAAAATCTTCATATTTTGCTAAAAATTGGGGCTGAAAAATGAAAATACATGTTCTGTGCCTTCCCAGAATCCAGAGTCTAGACAGAGAGTAGGTATGAGCTACTTTGCCCATTTGGGGAAACAGGGGGCTTCTTTGAAGCATGTTTCTCTGCATGGGTGCAAGGATCATAAAATACCTTGCAACAAGCTGTCCTTATGGGAAATATCACTTTAGTGGTCTCCACTGGCTGTGTAAAAGCAAGGCAGAAATCATCCTTTTTCTGGAGAAATTGAAAAACTGTGTAACTTGTATCTGGTTTAGGGAAATGCACCTCTTGATGGGTTGTGCTCTGCAAGAAGGTGGAGTTGGAACAAGAAAGAGCAGGGAAGCTGGCCTTGCAGGACCAGCCCAGGACTTTGATCCTGCCCATGTCTATTTTAGTGTGCATGTTATAGACAGCCACAAAATGCTGTTTGTCTAAATAGAAAAGCAAGACGCAAGATTCCTGCCAATCTGACACGGTTGATATTTCTCCCAGCAATCTTGATTCCAGCTTGTGATTCATCCAGCCCAGAAATACTGGGTTTTCACAAGGCCTCACAGTCATCTGTATGACACTTAAAATCTTAGGGGCAGTTCGTTTAACAGATTTGCCTTAAATATGTTGGCTGTTATCAATATTTAAATCCTGAAAAGTTTATATATAACTTATAGTTAGAAATATGCTTATATAGTTGGAAAGCATATGTATATACACACATAGAGTTATGAATCTCTCAGTTTAGAACATACAAGCTTCATGTGATTTTCATGAAAACCATGTCTTGAAGCTTGATCCCTAGATCCCTAGGTCCCAACACTGAGCTGCAGTAAGTATGTAGTTAAAACCTGACACAATTTTCCTGGAGGTCTGTGGAGATTAAAGAGTTTAGTCTTGAGCCCCAGTTTCCCAACGTGATCTGTGCTCTGGTGGATGGAGACATACATGCAGACAGAAGGAAGTGAAACATCTGAGGAGTTTGTAAGCATCACAATGGGTCCACTTGCACAGGGAGATTCTGTGTAGAACCCACTACATGTGATGAGACCCAGATGTCCTCATAGACCTGAGGTCGTGTGTCTTCCTTGTTGGAAGGTCCTTGGAGATGAGTCGACACAGGGTTTGGGGAATCAAGTGCCCTGAGAAAAGGGTGCCGTAGAGGCCTTTTAGGGTGTCTTTCATGAAACGAAAGTTCTGTTTCCATTTGTAGATTTGACATGTAAGATTCTCATCCCTCTGTTGCCCCATTCTCCTCCTGCCCTCAATCTTTCCCAGCATCAGGGTGACAGAGGATGAGATGTTTGGATGGCATCACCGACTCAATGGACGTGAGTTTGAGCAAACTCTTGGAGACAGTGAAAGACAGGGAAGCCTGGCATGCTGTAGTCCACAGGGTCACAAAGAGTCAGACACAGCTTAGCAAATGAACAACAACAACATGTAAAATTAATCCCAAGAAGGACACCCACACATACGAGCTATGAAGTTTTCTGAATTAGGCAGAGCTTTCTAGCAGTTTCCAGAACGGCAGGTCCTGTCTTCCTGTCTTGGTGTAGAGTTGGGTACTTGCCTTTCTCCAGGCAGATTAAGCTTGGGTGGGTTCACTGAAGGGGGTGACCTCTGTGGTTCCTTCTAAAGCTAAAAGTAATCTGATTCTGTTCAATGGTGGGCGGATAAAAGCAAAGTTTCATCCCCAAGCCCCTGTTTACATCATGGGGAGCCAACAGAGCAGTGGAATCTGTGGCTCGAGAAAGCCAAAGGTTTAGAAGCAGCATCTCCAAGGCCGCTTCTTGCTGAAATGCCTGTACCTGACCGAACCCAGCATCTGTCTCCGGCTGGGGAGGCTTCCGCCCTTCATCCTGACAGCGCGGCTCCCCCAACCTTCAGACGCAGCTTGCGGCTGTCAGCAGCACTCCCGGGATGGGACGGCATTGAGCACTGAACTTTGCCTGCTCTTTCCCTCTCTTTCCCTTTGGGGTCAGCCTCACACATTTATGGACTCGCTAACTGCATTTAAGAGAGTAGCTTTTGACCAGGGAAGCTTTTTTGCTTTGCTCAGTATTAATTGGCCATAACGGGCTCAGGTCTGTATCCTGGTCTCATTAGCTCCAGGTTTTAGCTAAATGGGCTAACTGACCCATGGCCAGAGCCAGCATGCCCCCATCCACTGGGCAGAGAAGCGTTGTCCGTAGGCCTCCTGACCAGTAACGTTGATATCATGGTGGCCGGAACTCAGAGGCTGTAGGTCAGGAAA